CAACTGCAATCATAAAATAATCACCAGACATAGTATGGGCATTGACTTTTACAGGTAAAGATTTTGAATTGAAATATCATTATACAACTAAGGATTAATAGTTGTACAAAGATTTCAAGAGAGGAGAATTTAACATATGACCATTTCACAAATGTGCAAAGACTAGTGTAACATATTATCCAATATTATTAGATACCACTATAGGGCAGATTGAGCATCCCTTATTTCAAAACTTGTAACATGAAACACTACCAAATCTACAGCTTTTGGAAGACAAGATAACACAAGTGGGAAATTCCACACCTGACATAATGTCATAGTCAAAAGGCAGGTACAGCGCATTTTATAGTCTATAAAATTATAGGCTGTGTGGGAGAAGTGTGCATGAAACTCAAGTGAGATCTGTGATCAGAAAGGGGTCGCATCCCCAAGATGTTACATTATGTTCATGCTAATATCCTTAAATCCAGAAAAAAAAATTCCCAAATCCCAAATCCCAGATACTTTTTTTTCTGGCCATAGCCATGTTGGAAAGCAAACACTGAGCCTACAGTGTCTGATGGAGTCTCCTTGGTTCCTGGCCTCTGATTTAGCACAGGCTTGGCTTGTTTACTGGAACTGTGGGAGGCTCTAAACTCTGGGGCGAGCTCTGGTGCCCCACTGTGGTACAGGGAAGCCACTGCCTTTTCAAGAGCAGGTGACTTCCTCTACCAGCCTACACTCTGATCCTGAAAGGTAAGGGTAACACATTCAACCTTCTGGAATTCTTGCAAAGAATATTTTGTGGGGTTTGTGGGGGTGGGTTCTAACAGACTATTATAGCTCAAAGTGCTGACAGATGTAGGAGTTTCATGGAGACAATTCATAAGCTCCAAATAAACACAGTGCTGCTTTAGGGTGACTCTCCAAATTATAATTTTCAGAATTATAATTTCTGAAAATATTTAGAGATGCTCTACTGCAGTAGAATTCTCACAGTATTTGGGGTAGCTGGGATAGAAATGTACCTTGTGAAGCCAGAGACATCCTGTGTCTTCCTGCACCTGACCCCACCTTGAAGGACTAAGGGCTGGTGGCTTTATGTCAAATCACACTTTTGTCAGCCAGCACATACATAGTGTATATGCAGCATGCTTTGCACACCATGCTAGGAGCTAAGGTAAGCCAAATAGAGCATCTGCCTACTGATACCTTTCCAGAGCTTTTTAGTGGTAGTAAAGTAAAACAATGAATGAATTGCTGAGAGGAAAAGTTACAAGAGATATCTAAGGCCTTAGAGCAAGTGCTGGGTAAGACTTCCTGGAGTTAGCCAGCTACCATTGAACTGAATCCTCCCTGAAGAGTCAGTGAAATGAAGGGCAGGATTGGGAAAGGCTCCTTTGCACTAGGAACAGGATGAGCAAAAGCAATAAGAGCATGAGACGGTTGGTCAAGGTGCATAGAACTCCTGGGGGCTGGGAAGAGCAGAAGAAGCCTAGTAGGAGAGAAAGGCAGAGGTCAAACTGGGTAAATCACTGTAGGATTTTGGTCTTTTCCAGATGGTATTGAGAAGCCACTAAAGGGTTTTAAATTAGTAGAGATAATATTTAAATGTTGCTTTCAGTCATTCCACAGGTAAGCAGGGCTATCACTTTCAGGGGCTGAGCTTCATCTTGCAGGAGCCTTTAAAACTATGGGCAAGTCAATGTAGTATAGGGCCATGGGAGTGTTCCTTGCTGTGCCAAAACACCAAAGTGAGGAAAAGGATAAAGGATAGAAGTTTCATTTTAGCTCTCAGTGAAGAGGTTTCGATCCATGGTTACTTGGTCTCATTGCTTTTGGACCTGTGGTAGAGCAGCACATCATGACTGTGGTGCATGAGAGGAAACTGCACAACTTATGATGGCCAGGAAGTAACTGAGATGTGTCAGGTCCCCAAATGTCCTTAAGGTTTGCCCTCAGTGACCTAACTTCCTCCCTGTAGACCCTATCCCCCACCTCACAAGGGCTCCACAGCCTCATAATAGCACCTCGTATTGCTGAGCAAGTCTTTAACTTATGGACTGGGAGATATTTAATATATAAATGCAATGGGAAGTTTAACTATTTCATATTTGCTTCAAGAAAAAGACGAAAATGTGTGTGTGTGTGTGTGTGTGTGTGTGTGTGTGTGTGCAGGCACACATGGTGCATGTATGGAAGTCTGAGGACAACCTCCGGTGTTTGTTAATTCTCACCTTCCTTCTTGTTTGAGGCAAGGGCTTTCCTTGTTCACAGCTATATATGCCAGGCTAGATGGCCTGAGAAAATCTGGGGGTTCTCCTGTTTTCCCATCCCATTTTGCTGTAGGAACGCCGATTACAGGTGCTGCAGTATCCAGCTTTACAGCTTTCTGCGGGCTCTGGGATTCAAAGTCAGGTCCTCATGCTTTCATTTTAAGTGTGCTGTCCCTTGAACCATCTCCTGAGACCCAAACAATTGTTTTTACAAGACTGGATAAAAAAGGATTTTTTTCCAAGTGTAAGTAAAACTGAATAACCTTTGCAGTAGCATAACTTTTCAAGTTCCAGTGATTCTAGTATTTGAGATTTGTGCAGTTAATACAGACGGTAGGTTCTAGAAACAGAGATTTCACTTATCTTCTTGTTTATTATGCAGTCTTTCTTAAGGGTGGACCATGATTCACACTCCTAGAAATAATTGTCAGAATGTGTGCTTGCAGTACTATGATGTCACTAAGTTTGCCTGGTTTGCTTACTTTAAGTAAAACTTTATCCTACTATGAGTTTTTTTGTGAACAATTCTTAAAATATTCTCCACTGTTCTATTTAAAAAATAACCTGTACTTTATGGGCAATTGGTCATGGGGTGGAGGGTTGGATAAAATCAGCTTTGGCAAGGTCAGGCCTGGATACAAATTCCTTCCAGAGCTTTATTTGATTTGTAAACTTGAAAAGCTGTTTTATAGTGCTTATGAATCTATAGTTCTTCACATATAAAATAGATACAAGTCTCTCTCTGTCTCTGTCTCTTTCTCACCCCCCCAACTTGGTGTTTGTGATGAATAACCAAAATTCAAGTGAAGGTACAGTATCCAGAGCCTCCTGTGGGGAATCATACAATTAAGGACCAAAGGAAACCACGTTTGTTTGCATCTTTTTCCTAGCAAAGATATTCTGGGCACATAATTTTCATAAAAATTCCCAATAAAAGAGGAAGGAGTGGGGAGCCAAGTTTGGGAGAGTCAATGATTCCTTTTTTCAAAAAAAAATTATTTACTATTTTATGTGTATGAGTGTTATGCCTACATGTAGGTAAGAGCACCTATGCAGGCAGAGGTGTCTGATCCCCTGGAACTGGAGTTACCTACAGTTGTTAGCTGACATGTTGGTGCTAGAATTCGAACCTGGGTCTTCTTCAAGAACAGTGTTCTTAACTGCTGAGCTATCTCTCCAGCCCCAACGATTCCGTTTAAGAAAACAGAAATATCTTTACAACCAGTTCAGCTTCACATGTGAAAAACTGATGCTTTAGAAAATATTGACTGAAAGATTCTGTGTCACCCTGAGAATCCTTCTCCAATTTTAGGCTGGGCTCATCCTTGTGGTCATTCATTCATTCATTCATTCATTCACTGGTCTTTTTGAGACAGGGTCTCCCTGTAGCCCCAGCTGTCCTAGAACTCGCTATATACACCAGGCTGGCCTTGAACTCACAGAGATCCGCCTGCCTCTGCCTCCTGAGTGCTGGGATTAATGGCGTGCACCACCACGCCCCGCCCTTGTAGTTCTTTTAAGGCTCAAAGGTGACTGTCGCCTTCTTCCATTCAAGAGGCAGGTTGTTTCTCTGCTGATGTTTCATAGATTCTGTTAGAACTTAAAAACAAACAAAAACCGTGCAAGAGTGGGGGCCACAAACTTCGTCACTGAAGGTTGAGAAAAGAGAAAGAGGTCACAATAAATATCAAAGGAGAAATGATTTCAGTTGAGTGGAAACTGGCCTAGTTTGGGTTCCTTTCAGTTGCTCACCCTGAAGACACTGGCATCTCTCAAGCAGGGCCCCAGGCAAGGCCCCCCGTGGAAGGCCCAGCTCCGAGGAGGGAAAGTTGGCTTTGGGAGATAAAGCTCTTTTAGATCCGGAGAATCCCTCTCTCTTTCCTGGCCTTTCCAAACCACAGCCCGTCCTGTAATTAGCGGAGCAAGTCCATCTAAGCCGGGCAAATCACTGGTATTCCATGAAATAATTATATTTTTGATGCCCTCGGACACATTCACCTCGAAGCCTAAAAACAGAGAAAGATTTTTTTTTTCCAAAGCTGGGGGAGGGAAGGAAAAGTGGAGTCGACATTGTTGCGATGAGTGAACCAGGCATAAGGTGGAAAAGCAGAGTTCCGTGGGAGCGTGGGAACACGGAGTTCTGAACCCGAGTTTCCAAGCACACAGAGAACAGCCTGTATTCCCTGTGCTGATTCTCCAGAGGGGCTCGAATCTGGGCGTTTCTAATCTTTCCCGAGAGTTGGGCTCGGTGTGTCCGCCTCTGCAGCGCCGGGGCAGGCGGGAAGGCACCCCTGTTCCGCCCAGCCCGTGCCAGCGCCGCGGGGTGTCTCCTTGCCGGAGCCTGCGGGGGGAGGGAGCAGGGCGCGACGCGTGGGTCGCGTAGGTCCCTGCACTGGATGGACCGCCGACGCTGCCTCCGGGGCGGGGACAGCTCGGGCCACCGTGTGCGCCGCGCGGCGATTCCACCCACAACTCGCCGGCTCCTGGGGGCGGCGGGTGTAGCCACACAGCGCCGGAGACAGGAGCGCATCGGCGGCCCCCGTGGTCCCAGTGGCCCCCGGGATCGCTGTAGCCCGCACGCTGCGGCAGGTGCGCCCAGCACCCGCTCCTCCAGTCCTCCCTCCCCGCCGCCCGGGCGCCGCGCCCGCCCCGCCCCTGTCCCCGTCCCCGCCCGCGGGCCGCCCGGGGCAGGGCCTGCAGCTGCGGCCGTCCAGCTTCGGCCCGGGCATGGGCGGGCGGCGGGCTGCGGAGGGCAGCTGAGCGAGGGACCGCGCGGTGACCTCCTGTCGCCGTGCGCGCCCCTCCTGTTCCCTGCCGGGACCTAACCGGCTGCCGACAGCGACCCGGCCCCTTGGTGGCTGCGGCGTGGGATCTCGTTGTCCCGCTGACTTAGCTGCGCTGCCCCGGCGCGATGCGCTGAGAGCGTCCGGATCCGTGCACCCGGGACCTCTGCTGCGCCCCGAGCCGCCCACACCATGGGACCCGCGGGCACCGGGCGGAGCCTGTGGGCGCCGCCACCGCGGCTGCTGCTGCTGCTGCTCCTGCAGGTGGCAGGGCCGGCGGGCGCCCTGGCGGAGACCCTCCTGGACGCCCCCAGGGCCAGCGGGGCCAGCTCCAATCCCCCCAGCCCCGCAAGCGTGGTGGCCCCGGGAACGACACCGTTTGAGGAAAGTCGGCTGCCAGTGTTCACACTGGATTACCCCCACGTGCAAATCCCCTTCGAGATCACTCTGTGGATCCTACTGGCCTCGCTGGCCAAGATTGGTGAGCTAGCTGGACCGGCGGGTGGGGGCGGGGGCGGAGGCGATCTGCATGGGGCTCCTGGTGGGTGACTGAGTAAGCCAGTACTTGTCTTCAGAGTGGCCACCTCACCCTGGTCCATGGCAGCCGCAACAGAGAGATCGATTTCTATGAGCTGAAAAGGTCCCTGAGAAAAGTAGTTTCAAGTGTCGATTCTTAAATGGCCACTGGCCTTGGAATGCCTGGGAAGACTGACCCGTAGCAATGTAGAGCCTTACTGCTGACTTTTGCTTTGAACTTCAAGTTTGACAGCTTTCTACCAAAGCTGAGGGAGACTTGTGTTCCGCCAAAGGCAGCGGCTAGCAGAAGTCTGTCTTCACCTACAGAGGCAAGACACAAGACAGCACCCAGGGTAGATGCCGGCTGGAAGGGAGTCCTTGGTCTCACACAGACCCTAGCATGCTCCTGACTAGTGAAGTGCCTGTAAGGGGACCAGGGACACCTGAGTACCTGCAGCTGCAACACAGGTGCCCTGTTCCTTCCCTGTTGAGCTGTCATTCTACAAATCATTTTCCTTAGAGGCCAGTGACGCTGAATATTTGCAAAATATTAAACTCACATGTTCTACCATCTCCAATTCTTATTTGGAAAACAGTTCAGCATGTGGTTTGACATCTCCCTATCTTTCCCAACCCATCTTTCTTGGTACCATCAAGACACTTTCTTATTTTACTTTATATTAAAATATATTAACTATTGTTATACTGTTCAAAAATTATAAGGCCAAAGAACATATGTGTTTCCTGTGTTTCATGCATTCACCTTGTAAGATGAGGCAGTTTTTCATACATACTGAAAGATGCATTGCCTGTCACCCCAGGGAACTTATTGATTGATAAGGAGAAGCTTCAGTGGTTATGGCACAGGAAATGCTCCCTAGGCAGAGGGGATTAGCAAAGATGGTATGGCTGTGGAGAGAGGCAAGGGTCATATCCTGGCCAGAAGTATGTGAACTGGGCTTTCAAGGATGACCAGATTCTGGTCAGCTGGAGATGCTCACCTGAAAGGAGAGTCTAGAGCAAAATGAGGAAAGATGTGAGTGGGAAAGGGAACTCCAGGCAGGTGGCAGGGTTGGCTTATAAGAGCGTGGTAGTTGCCAGAGCTAAGCCTGAAGCACACTTCCCAGGTCACACTAAATTCATTATGTTCTAATCCTAGTGAACCAAGGTGCCAGCAGTATTTAATGACTTTACAGTTTGGAATCATTGGCTCTGGTATGACTTGCTAGTTGGGTGTTTTAATTCCATCTGAGCGATGGTATATTAAGGAACATGGACTTCCCTACCTAGCAAGTAGCGCACGAACTCATGGCCTCTATCAGTAACCTGAGAGAGAGATGCCATCTCTTTGTGTGGTTGGTCGTCACAGCGTCCCTGCCCCATTGGGAATGTACCTGTGAATATTCTCAGCTGAAAGAGGTGGAAACTGAAGCTGGAAAGTTTATACCCAGGGGCCACAAAGTCAGGAGCCAATTCTAATGCTCTGTGTGCCTCCTTCTGCCTGAGTCCCAGGCTTCACCACTGGATGCTCTCTTTCATGACTGCTTTTCTCTTGTAGTTCAATTCTTTCCTCTGTTCTTCACTCATGATTATTTTAATCAGATTAATTACACTAATAACAGCCGCTAGTGGGCACTTAAGTTCATTATCCCTAATTTTCACAGCCTCCATCCCGAGTAGATAGGACAGCCCTGCTTTAGCAAAGAGGAAGCTCAGGAGGCTCTGCTGGTGGGTGGTGAGGCAGAGCTCCAGCCAGGCGTGCCTGGTGTGTCATCTTTGGATCTGCCCTGGAGGCTTGTTCTAGAGTGAGGACTAGAGTAGGATGGCTACGTCCAGTGTTCTTAGGAGAGTGTAGTAGGCATGCAGGGAGTGTGACAACACTGCTACCATGTGTGGCTGAGGCTGCGATTGAGTGGTGAAAACAGCAGTCATATCTGGAGTGTTCCAGTCACTTCCGTTCCTTTTCCACTGTCCTGGGCTGCTTCTGAGCTTTTTGCCTTCTGGAAGGATTATTGCTGTTATTCTCTGGGTGACCTTTGCCCCCTGACCTGTAGTGTTCCGTTCATCTTTCTTGGCTATTCATCTTAACTGTGTGGTTAGAAAGTGTCCAGTGTCCATGCTTGTGTGCATCAAAGCTCTTGGGCCTCTCTACCTGTCTGCTAGCAGTGTTCTTGGCCGAGATATATTTAAGGTCCCTGTACCTTTTCCATTTCACTTGCCACTGTTCCTGCCCTCTCAAAGTTGGATTTAACCATGGAATCCTTATGCATTGCATTTGTATTCTAATCTTCTCCAAACTCTGTACTTCTCTGGTCACTGGGGGGATGGAGAAATGACAACACAGATGTTCATGTCTCCTGTCCAGAAGGGCTCCCAGCAGCCAGATACTAACTATCCCAGTTGAGGTGAAAGGAATAAATTTCAGGATGGAAAGTGGAGTTTTCAAGTCCAAAGAAGCTTGTACTTGGAATTTTTCTATGTTATTTCTTTTTCTTAACCCAACCCTCTCTTGCCTGTTTGGCTCTGTTCCTAGAGGAATATATAAATACCCAGATGTACCCAATTCTCCTTCCTGTCCCCCAGACCTTCAACTTTCTATTTGACTCTGAGCAAAACTATCCTGGTGCTGCAGGACACTTTCACAGACCATTAAAAGAAATCAAATATGTAATGTTCTGTTTTGTTTTTTGTTGTGGAGAAGCTATTGTTTAGGGATAACCTACATATCCTAAATTGCTCTTATTTGGGAAAGATAGTGAGTTCAACATGTAGGGGATGCGAGACTAGGAGGCAACGCAAATGCCAACTCTTATAGAAATGCTGTAGTTTCTGTCTGGGAAATTTTTATGCAAGTACCTGATGTGCCAGAACTTACCTTCCCCAGAGAACACAGAGAAACATTACTAGTCATTAATCTAAACAAGGATGAACAGGTTGCTCAGGGTAGAAGCTCTATTAATATTTGTAGGAGGTTGAAACACTGATGTATCATTTAGAATGGCTGTCTAGAAGGTTATACAAGGCACACTTTTACAACTTTTCAGTGGTCCACTTTCTCATTGTTGTCTCTGATTACTAGGGAAAATCAAATTTCTAATTATTTTGCTGAAGAAATATAGGACTATAGTTACGAAAGGTCCCCCAAAGAACCATGATGGAAAGGATGCTGATGTGTGTATGTGATGAAGAACATATGGATTTAATACACCTTGGAATAAACATTGTGACAAGGACAACTTCCTAGAGTTTTCTTTAGGTTCTCACAAATGTACATTCTTCTTAATTCACATTGATTATGAATATGTTAACCCACCATTGATATTTTTATACAGTAAGGAATGCACACTTTGCCTGGTAAATCTGTCACATAAGGATAAGAGTTCTATAGCCCATGATAACAGGAACTCAAGAATGGAGAAGAGGACAATTTCTTGGTGTGTTTTAAGGTCATCTGTCCTGCTTTTTCTACTCAGGAATTGGGTCAATGGGGTTTGTGCTTGTTCTAACATGAGTGAACATGATTGTGCATCTACCTCTGCTCAAGGTTCAAGGACCGAACACCAGGTCTCCTGCTCTTCAGAGTAACAGGGCTACCCGCTTCCTGCAAACCCTTCCTATGCCTCGGGGTCCTGTAGGGACAGCCTGTTTGTTTTTCCTGCCTAGCTGCCACTGGTCACTCTGTGCTTTTCATTTTCTTGGCTGCTCAACTTTGGGTTAGGATGCAAAATTTTCCTTATTTCAAGGGAAGACAGAAAACAGTTGGGCCCAGGAAGGTATCTCCTCTGGGCTCCAGGTTGCCATGAGTTCAAAATGTGAAACTGAAGAGTTGTTACTATGTCTGAAGTGCAGAGATTTTAAACTCTGAAGGCTTGTCTCCCTGTGCCTGGCTTCTTGTTCTCTGTGTTCTCGCTGGTTTGTCTGAAACAAATGCATAGACTGGGTAGTCATGGGATGAAGATCATGGTTCCCCATCTCCCTCTGAAGACACACACACACACACACACACACACACACACACACAGACACACAAAAGAGAGAGAAAAAGAGAGAGAGAGAGAGAGAGAGAGAGAGAGAGAGAGAGAGAGAGAGAGAGAGAGAGAGAGAAGAGACCATTTTTTCCTTGTAGGGCTGTAAAAACTCACCTATAAAACCAAACGAATTTGATGGTTTTGAAATATGGATAGATTTTTGACCCATTATTTATTTATTTTTTTAGTATGCACAGTGCTATTTGGTTTATCTGTGTCTTTTGGGATCAATATTGGTCATTTGTGTTTAATTTCATTTGAGCTTTTTAAAATATTTATTGGAAAAAAGTTTTTTATGACTGTAAAGCATGCCACCTTATCAGCAGACATGGTCTCCTTTCATCCCCAGTATATTCATTCTTGCCCACTTTTATCTTTATCTTCATCAAAATTCTTTGTTTTTCTATCCTGTAGTTTTAAAAAACAATTCTATGTTTTTTTCTAATTTACAGCGTCTCCAGGTACCTTTATGACTTTTTGTTCCTGTTTTCTTTGACTTTATTTAGTTGATCATTGGATTGAAAGTTTAGATCATCAATTGTTGGATTTATTTTTTAATATAATGTCAAATTCCATCATACAATGGTGACTAATGGGAATAATGGGAACCATAATTACTGTTGTTTTCAGTAATTTCGATGGTATGCCATGCATACATTTGCATGCATCTAGGAGCTCCACAATTAACGTGCACGTATGTTAAAATGACATCAGTCTTATTAAAATAGACAAAATTACTTCATTATTTACTCAGTTATTAAATTCCTAAATAAGCCATTTTGTCATCTTCATTTTCTCTAAAATATGAGTATTTTTTTTTCCTTGTGCTTACTAAATTCAAAGCTAAGCCTCAAAGAAGACACATCCATCATACTTAAGGCTTATATAAATTAATCTTTATTGCAAATTTAAAAGTAAAACGGGGCTACTAAAGACA